GGGTCTCTCCCCATCGGGCTGCGGAGGGAGACGAGGTCCCCCCCATGCCACGAAAGAAGCAGAGCGACACCTTCCCCTCCCCAACGCGCGATGATTCAGGTTGTTCTCTCTTTTTCTCCCGTTCCTCCTCCCTTCCCCCCAAAAAAGGTGCGTTTCTCATCCCCTATTTGATGATGTTGGCTCTAGCTGGGATCCCCATTTTCTTCCTGGAAGTCTCCCTGGGGCAGTTTGCTAGTCAGGGGCCCGTGTCTGTCTGGAAAGCCATCCCCGCCTTGCAAGGTGAGAGGAGCAGGAGCCGACCCGTTTTTTGGGGGAGCATGACCTACCCCCCTACACCCCTCCCATCCTCTCTTGCATGGCTTCAGCACGGCCGCCTCCCCGCAGCCGCATGCTCCGGGCTCTCCCGCTGGCTGTTTCAGCAACCTCAGCGCGCAACTTGCGCGGGGGATGCGCTCCCTTCCTGCGCCAGGCGAAGCCGGGACCGGCTGCTCCCCTCCTCCCCCCTCAAGCTCCGCCTGGGATTAATGACATTATTTTCCTCTCTCCCTCTCTTTCCTCTCAGGCTGCGGCATTGCGATGCTGATCATCTCCGTTCTAATAGCCATATATTACAATATTATTCTGTGCTACACACTTTTCTACCTTTTTGCGTCCTTTGTACCTGTGCTACCTTGGGCTTCCTGTAACAACCCCTGGAATACACCAGACTGTAAAGATAAAAACAAACTTTTGTTAGGTAAGTTGGGACAGGCTTTATTTATTTTTTTTTACTTTATTTTTTTTTACTTTTTACTTTTTACTTTTTTTTTTACTTACTTACTTTAATTTTTTACTTTATTCTTTTTGCTTTTACTTTACTTTACTTTGTTTTATTTTTTTTTTTACCCCCCCTTTGTGGCATTGGGGGTTTTCCAGAACTTTCTGCGTCTCAGCTGCGCCCCTGGGAGATGCCAGCGGAGGTTGCGGATGGCCGTGGCCTGCTGGGCTTCCCAGCACGGAGGAATCCCTCAAGTCACTTTGATCTGCATCATATAGGCGCTGCCCCCCCCCTTTTATTTAAATTTTTCCTCATCAAGGATAAATGGGATTTTCCCAACTATAATGCTAAACAAAAAGCCCAACTTTTTTTCTCTCTCTCTTTTTTTTTTTTTTCTTGGGTAAAAGCTCTGTGTAGGGCAGAAAGCGCGGAACATAACGCTGCAGCCTCTGGTTTTTGTTAAAAACAACTTCTTGGGCTGTAGAGAGGTTTAATGGAAAAAAAAAAAAAAGAGAAGGAAAACGTTTTTTGCAAACGGGCCCCAAACATGCAATAAGCTGAAAAGTAAACTGAGCAAACATCCTTCTGGCAGAGGTGTGGGCACTGGCAGTGGGGTCCGGTGTCCCCCTGGCCCTCGTCCTGGGGGCTGGGGACGGTCCCGGCTGGACACTGCATCCCGGACCCTGTCCCCCAGTGGGGTGACCCCCCTCGCCCCCCCGAGAGGGGCAGCAAGCGCTCCCCCGGGGCGGGCAGAAGCTCTTTCACTTCCTCAGATTGTTTTTATGCCTTAATCATTTGGGATAAGGGGGGGAAATCGTCACTTTTTTTTAAGGCGCAGTCTTCTCAGACCCTTATGGCTTCTGTAAGGAAGGTATTCCGCAAATCGGACATGGGACAAAAGTTCAAGTAATGTGTGTGATTTGACGCTTTTTGTTGTCATTTTACACCCAACTTGAAAAGAAAATCTAGACAAGTTGTTTTTCTCTTAGTTTTTTTTTTTCTTCCTAGATTCCTGCATTATTGGTGACCACCCAAAAATCCAAATCAAGAACTCCACTTTCTGTATGAGTGCCTATCCAAACTTGACTATGGTTAACTTCACCAGTGAAGGAAACAAAACGTTTGTCAGTGGAAGTGAAGAATACTTCAAGTAAGATCTTCCTTTGTTTAGAGACGTTATGTTAATCTTTCTCTAAAATCCGCTGTAACAGAAAACAAATCACTGTTTGGAAGGCGAGAAATATAATGGTTAAGGACAACAAATGGCACCTGTTTTTAATGCCTAGGAAAGATGAAAGCTAATTTTCAAATGCTGGATTATTTGTGTGCTGTTCCTGTGGTGCTCAGCACAGCTGGGCTGTTGGCCCACGCTTGGCATTTTTATCTACTACTGCAATGCAGATAAATAAAATAATGCATGGTGAGAATCACTGGAACCTTCTAGAGGAACCACTGAGAACGCTGAAGCAAAACAAAATGCTGTAGGAATTTGCACTGAATTACCGCCTGCAGTTGCTGTCATTAATTTTTTTTCCTTTTAAATTTTTATTTTCTTTTTAAATTATTCTTAGGTACTTTGTATTGAAGATTTCAGCAGGGATTGAATATCCTGGTGAGATTAGATGGCCCTTGGCACTATCTCTTTTCCTAGCCTGGGTGATTGTATATGCCTCCCTTGCTAAAGGAATCAAGTCATCAGGAAAAGTAAGAAAAATATTTGTGATTGTACGCTTGCAAGAAAGCAGTGCGCTGCTTCGAGAGAATCGCGCTCTTGTTTAAGGCAGTGAATTACTGACAATTATTTTCAGTAAATGGCTAAGTATTAATGAAATGTCTTTTTCCTGTCTGTGTTTTCCTGTCTACGCAAAACATTTAAAAAAAAAAAAAAGATAATTTTGATTCAGCATTTATTCATAGAATCATAGAATTGCTGAGGTTGGAAGGGACCTTTAAGATGATCGAGTCCAACCATCAACCTACCCTGACAAAACCACCTCTAAATCATGTCCCTAATTTTCAGTAAGTCTAAAATAAGTCCTTGAGCTGCCCTCAGCAGTTGGATGGCAAAAAGGTGCCTTCAGCAGCCTTCCCTGTTCTGTGTGGTGTTCATTACAATTCTGCAATCACCTTACGTTTCCCTATAATCAGGGAAACTTTGATGTAAATGAAGATGTTAAGTAACATGCTTTAAAATCAGAACTGAACTTAAAGCGGTCCGTGGTGACTGTGAGCAGTGACAGTGTGTGTCCTCTTTTCCCAAGTATTTGTGTGGCCATCCTTAGAATCATAGAATGGTTTAGGGTGGAAAGGACCTTGAAGATCATCGAGTTCCGCCCCCCCTGCCATAGACAGGGCCACCTCCCACTAGACCAGGTTGCCCAAGGCCCCGTCCAGCCTGGCCTTGAACGCCTCCAGGGATGGGGCCTCAACAACGTCTCTGGGTAACCTGTTCCAGTGCCTTACAACCCTCAAAGTGAAAAACTTCTTCCTAATGTTTAATCTAAACCTGCCCTCTTCCAGTTTATATCCATTCCCCCTCGTCCTATCACTACATGCCCGAGTAAAAAGTCCCTCCCCAGCTCTCCTGTAGGCCCCCTTTAGGGACTGGAAGGCCGCAATAAGATCTCCCTGGAGCCTTCTCTTCTCCAGGCTGAACAGCCCCACCTCTCTCAGCCTCTCCTTATAGGAGAGATGCTCCAGCCCTCGGATCATCCTCGTGGCTCTCCTCTGGACATGCTCCAGCAGGTCCATGTCCTTCTTAAGTTGAGGACTCCAGAGCTGGACGCAGTACTCCAGGTGGGGTCTCATGAGAGCAGAGTAGAGGGGCAGAATCACCTCCCTTGACCTGCTGGCCAGACTTCTTTTGATGCAGCCCAGGATATGGTTGGCAAACCGTATCCTAAAACTCTTCCTTGTGGTAACCCAGCTCCTGGCTCGTTGTCATTCCCACCCTTGCCCTTCAAATCTGCGGCTTTCTCCCGTGCCTCCTAACTAACTGTGTCACGAGGGACCATGTCCTCTCATTGCCGTGGAAGTACGGGCACACGAGTTGTCCAAGTGGCCGTCTGAGCAGAGAGATGCAGCTTTTCCTTCAGCAGCAGCACTGCTCTGGGTGGGGTGGTGGATTTTTTTTTTTTTTTTTTTGGAAAAAAAAAGGTACGAATGCCATATCTGAGACTTCTCCATCGATGCCCCTGCAATTAGCATGCAGGTTAAAACATCGGATGATGACATAGCATATATCTAGCTGATTAACAAAGAGTAGGTTGAAAAGATAAAGAAGATGGAGCAGAATAACTGGATATTCCCTGCGATAAATGTAGTGCATATGCAGAGATAGCTATGAGTGTTTGAGAGCTGGGCACAGGATTCCTGATTCCGAGCCATCCCTTTGCATCTGGAAGGTAACAACATCTGTTGGGAGGTATCTTGGGAATTAGTAGAAAATCCAGAGACTCAGAGTGCCACGGGAAAGTTGGGATTTCCTCCCCCCTCCCCGGCCTTTAATGTGATATAAAAAACTGTTTCATGAAAGGCCAGAGCCAAGAAACAGACCTACAGGAGAATTACTCGGGTTTGGATGTGGCAATAGATACTTCCTTAAGTGGGCCTTAGGGGCCGAGAAAAACATTGACTCGGTGGTGTCAGGGTGTCCTGGTTTGAGGTAAATGAAACCACGGCACAGGGGGAGAAAAAATTTATTTATGCATAGATGAGTTCGGTATATTCACCGCACAAAAATTCATCTGGGAAACTTCTTGAAACAGCAGAGAGAAAGTTGGAAAGCAGTTCCAAAAGTCACTTCAGCTCAGAGGATTCTGGTCCCTGTAAGATTCAGAGGTTAATGTGAAAAGGGTTTGAAATGCTTTTGGGTAGAGTCTACAGCTTAGCTGGCCATGATCTAGCCATTTTATTTGACCTCAGAGAGAGCTCTGCTCTGTACTAGGTAATTATTAAGACATTAAACACACAACTTCTGTTGTGTATTTAAACATAATGATGATTAGGTCTATCTGGATCATTCCACTGATTTTCCTTTTTTTTTTTTTTTTGTCACTGGGACTATAAATATTTTCATGGTGATATGTAATTATTAAGAGGTACAAACAGTAATAAAAATGCTTTAGGCTTAGTTAAAGACAGAGAAATATATAGAAAACATCAGAACTTCGAGTGTTATTGAAGGGCGTTGCTCATTTCGTTTCTCTTGTGCTGTGTTAGTTTGAACATTTGGCTGCAAATTCTCGTTGTTCCTCTCCAGATTTTCTTTTCTGCTTTTTCTTCCCCTCTCTGTCTAGAAACCCAGCTCTTACTTCTGTTGCTGATGATGTTATTCCCCTTTCCAGCAGCAAGAAGAGCTGTAAAATTACAGATTTCCTGGGAAAATAACCCTGTTCTCTTCCTGATTTATCCCCTGGCTATTGTCTCTGAGCCTGAGTGATTGCTTTCTTCAGGCAATAGTGTATCACTTGTATTCCCCCCACATACCTCTCCTTATACACCCAAATAAGCCCTTTCAATAATCTTTTTCTTTTGGTCTGTCCAGGTGGTGTACTTTACCGCTACGTTCCCCTATGTAGTTCTCATCATCCTTCTTATAAGAGGAGTAACTCTACCTGGAGCTGGAGCTGGAATCTGGTACTTCATCACGCCAAAGTGGGAGAAGCTGATTGACGCTATGGTGGGCTCATTATTGCACTTATACCTCTTCGAGGGTGAATGCATCATACAGATTTCTTAGTGTCACTATTGGCATCTGTGAAACTTGTTCTTCATCTTAGGTAGAGTGTTGTTGCAATGGATGTTCGTTATTTGTGTGCAAGTAACATTTTTTACGTATACTATTATAGATATGTTCTTTACATCACATTTAATATTTCACCTGAATCTCCAAGCAGGTGCATTTGGGAAATAGGGAATTAGAAAGGAAATACAGTTTTTCATACGCTGGTGTCTGTTGGATGCTGCCTTGACTTGAACAAGCACATCAATCTTCTAATAGGTAACGTGATAAACTTATCTGAATTTCTTGAGAAATGCTCTGAACAGGGGTATTTTTGTCACTGAGCAAAGCTTGTTCTGAATAATGCATATGAGACATTAGATTAAACAAAATCAAATTATATATCCTAATTTAACTCCCCAGTAGCATATATTCATAGAATCATGGAATGGTTTAGGTTGGAAGGGACCTTGAAGATCATCTGGTTCCAACCCCCCTGCCCTGGGCAGGGACACCTCCCACCAGACCAGATTGCTCCAAGCCCCGTCCAACCTGGCCTTGAACACCTCCAGGGATGGGGCAGCCACAGCTTCTCGGGGCAACCTGCGCCAGGGGCTCACCACCCTCCCAGTAAAGAATTTCTTCCTAATATCCAACCTAAATCTCCCCTCTTTTAGTTTAAAACCATTAACCCTTGTCCTATGGCTCCACTCTCTGATCAAGTGTCCCTCCTCAGCTTTACTGTAGGAGCCCTTTAGGTACTGGAAGGGGCTATAAGGTCTCCCTGGAGCCTTCTCTTCTCCAGGCTGAAGAACCCCAACTCTCTCAGCTTGTCCTCATAGGAGAGGTGCTCCAGCCCTCTGATCATCTTTGTGGCCCTCCTCTAGACCCGCTCCAACAGGTCCATGTCCTTCTTATGTTGTGGGCCTCAGAGCAGGTGGGGTCTCAGGAGAGTGGAGTAGGGGGGAGAATCCCCTTCCTCGCCCTGTTGGCCACGCTGCTTTTGATGAAGCCCAGGATGCGGTTGGCTTTCTGGGCTGTCAGCACACGTTGCCTGCTCATGTTGAGCTTCTCATCTACCAACACCCCCAAGTCTTTCTCCTGAGGGCTGCTCTCAACCCAATCTCCACCCAGCCTGGATTTGTGCTTGGGATTGCCCCGACCTAGGTACAGTACCGTGCACTTGGACTGGTTGAACTTCATGAGGTTTGCACAGGCCCACCTCGCAAGCCTGTCCAGGTCCCTCTGGATGGTAATCCTTCACTCCAGCTTGTCGACTGCACCACACAGCTTGGAGACAGGAGATGATACAGTGACACGGTGGCTTTGCTCTTTAAGCATCGACTGGATGAGGTGGAACTTCGGCTCTGTTGCCTCACTCAGGATTTGAACTGATTTCTAAAAAGCTATTTGCTGCCGATGAAGCCAGGCAAACCTATTCCACAAATACACATGGATTTGTGTTTGTGTAGACATAAATCCACCCACGGATCATGTGTTTGCCTGATCTGTGTCAGTCTGAAGTGTCTTGAGGCAGGAGTCTGGAGACCGAATTGAAGCCTGAGAGGAGACCTTTTTCCTCTAGAAATGAAAGTGTGATTTTTAGCAACACCTCAGGAAACCTGGTGTGTTTTTTGTTTTTCCCCTAAGATTTTTTTCCTCGCTATCAATAGCGGTGTGATATCACACCAATAGATTGAATTAAAGCTGAAACCAGTTTCCTGGATTAATTGTGCAGACCTTAATTTCCTTCATATCTCTGCAGCAATGGGTATTTTGATCCTTTGGTGATGGGAGTATTAAATCTTTTGCAAGCAACGCGGAAATTAATTTTGCATTAAAAATGAGCGGTTTTGGATCTCGCGTTGTGCAATAAAGGAGGTGGGAACTGCTGCCTTTTGCAAAATGGGGCTGTCTGAACACACTGAGTATCTGTATAACCCTGGGTAAGTGTTCCATAATATTCAGGCGAGCTTCTGTTTTCAATTTTCTTTGTGGTGTACCATGAATTAATAGCTGTATATTACACTTGATTAGATGAGGGGTTGGCTGCTTGCTGGCTGGTAATATTTAAAGTAGTGTTTAAATAATATCTTCAAACTGGTTAGTGCGGGTATTGGTACACCAATCCGTGCGGGTATTGGTATCTTCAGTTCTGCGCTGTGGACTTGGGTGCAAAATCAGAGTTTGTAGGAAAGCTTGTAAATAGAAATAACAATGCTTTGAACATTTTGCATTTCAACTTCTTTGAAATTCCAGGCAACTTTTATTGAAATTCATTTAAGGTTTTGCAGAACTTTGTTACAGAACCAACAATGGTTTGGTTTGTTATTTTTGAGAGACTTGGTGGAGGATGTGTTTTCTTCTGATGGGAGAAAACTGGGCCCTCATGTCTAAAGAGCCCTAAATTATGCTGTGCTGTTTGATGTACACCTAATTTTAATGTAATCTCTGAAGTATCACATGAAGCAACACTGAGGTTCTTCCTTTTATCAAGATGACAAAATATTTTTTAGGGCCACTGGCAGCTAAACCATCGGTACCTGATGCAGATTTTTCCTCTTGATTTCTATTTTCTTTGCTGCATGTATTTGAACTGAGATGTATCAAGCAATATAGACTGAATATTTGTGCCTTCCACATACAGCAAAGGTTATATTGTCATTTTGTATGGGCTCAACAAGAACAGTACTCCTTATCAAATGGGCACTGGGAATTTTGGGGGAGGATTTTGCTTTTAAATATTCTATTGATACCCATTGCTCTAAAGTTCATCCTCTCCTCTCTATCTTACTTAGGTTTGGAAGGATGCTGCCACTCAGATTTTCTTCTCCTTATCTGCAGCATGGGGAGGTCTGATTACTCTCTCTTCCTACAACAAATTCCATAATAATTGCTACAGGTATGTGAGAGTGAAACCCATTGGTTTAATTAAACAGATCTTATCCAAAACCAGTCAGCTTCCAACTTGTAGGAATCCGGTTTGAAAGACTCCCTTTTTTTTCTCCCCCCCCCCC